CGTCCCTGGCCCCCCCCCCGCTGGGCCGCGGACGTGCCGCCGGCCATGATTTGCACCCCCCCTTTTGGACACCCCCCCCTTGACCGCTCCCGATAAACAGCCCGTGCGCTAAGCATCAAGCTGCGGCGAAGCGCCATGGCTCGCCTGTAGCCCCACCAAAGACTGTTCTAAGGACCTTTCGTAGTTTGCACGATTTTTTTTCAGAACAGTTCTGATTGAGACTGCCTCGGTTTAACACATCGGGCTAATGTTCTATGAACATTGTTTTTGTTATGTGAACATTTTTGGGTTCTAAGATCACTTCGTGGTAGGACTATGGGAATGCCGGGACGGTCGGTCCCTGCTCAAAAACAGTGCGCAGGTGTCGGCGCCAGCCCGGCACAGGCTGATCGCCCTTCGGGGTCCAGAGACGGGGGTTCCGGGGGTCAGCCAGAGTGCCGCCGGATCTTGCAGGATCCTGCAGGGCCAGGGTCGCATTGACCCGGGTTTGGGTGCAGGATCCTGCAGGAGCGTGCAGGATCCTTCGCATTGACCTGGGTTTGGGTGCAAGGTTTTGCAGGATGTTGCAGGATTCTGCAAGGCCTGACCGACCCAGGTTTGCATAGACCCGGGTCAGTGAGTCCCCGAGCCCTGCGGCGTTGTTTTTGCACCCTCGGGCCCTGCTGGCCCAGAAGCCTGCGCCTGCGTTGGTGGCCGCCGCGCACGCGTCGCCCCCCGAGGCCCCGAACTTCTCGGCAGCGAGCTCGGCAGTCGGCTGGCTTCTATTGCGGCCTTGCGCAGAGAAGTGATGCACTCCGGCTCCCCCCTCATGCGGTCTACCATCGCGTCCTCAGTCTCGGCGAGTTGTCTGGCGAGGAGGCGCAACACATCATCGATAAGCATGTGGAAGGGCACAGCTGTGAACTTGGGCTGGGAAGTACGCAGGGGCGGCAAGGCGTAACTGCACCTACTTCCTCCCTAGTAGAAGGAACAGCAGCACCCACCAGCAGCAGGAAAAGGAGGAGTGAGGGGTCAGGGAGAAGAGAGCGATGAGGATGGAAGATAACGAAGGCAGCAGGAGGAAGGAAGCAGTAGCAGGAGGAGGACGAACCTCCATGCTTTCTCCTCCCTCTCCCGCCACCCTCCCAGGTCATGGCCTACATGTACCTGTCCAGTCGGAAGGAGGAGGAGGATGAGGGTGCCCCCAACGATCAGGACATCCGACAGCAAACGGGAGGAGGATGGGTGAGGATCGGGGGAAGCCCAGTGCAGGAAAGCGCGTGAACCGATCCTGCAATCCTTTCTGAGTAGAGGAAGGGAGGGTGTTACGACAATATGTGGAGGTCAACGGCGACGACGCGGAGTATGGCAGTATTGCTGAGCATGTAGAGTCGCAGTAGTCGCAGTTGTGGGAATGGTCGTGCAATCCTTGGTGACAACGGCAAGTTCGATAAGGAGGACGCAGACGAGTACGATTGCCAAGTTCACGACGGGCATGACTACCACGATCGCCACAGGGGCAGCGACCGTGAAAACGATGATGATGCTGATGATGATGACGATGGCGATGAAGATGATGAAACTGATGATGGCGAGGATGGCGATTGCCATGGCGGGCCCGAGTCTGAAGAGGAACAGCACAGAACTGTTTTGGGGCAGGGGGCAGGCGCCCCGGGGGGAGAGCGGATGTCGGAGAAGAACAGGGGGCACGAGCATAATCTGTCTCGAAGGCCCGCGCGAGCATCTTGGTTCTGCGCTGGACCCCTGGTGGCGCCTCGGCGCCACCCGTGGCGCTCCTCGCGCGCCGGGGAGGAGGGGCCCCGCGCAGATCCGAGAAGAGTCCGCGCGGGCCTCCGAGCGGGGGCGCTCTCGGAACGCGGAGCGCGACGACGGGTTCTGGGCCACACTTGAGGCCCCCGGGGGCCCTCACCGGGCCACGGGGCCGAGGAGAAGCGGCTCGGATGAGAAGGCATCGGCGGCGCGCACAAGGGGGTGGAGGGAGTGGGGCGGGCCTCTCAGGAGGGGGCTGCTTCTTAGAAGGCCCCAGTTTTACATCTATAGATAAGGCCCGCGCCTTCTAAAGAAGCAGGGGCGCTTCTAAGACGCCCTCCCCCCACCCCCCTCTGCGCGTGGCCAAGAGCAGGTGCTTGGGAAGGAGTCAGGACCTTTGGGGCCCCCCGGCGCGAAGAGAAGCGCAGCGTCAACACAACGCAGGGAGTTCGCTCGGGTGGGTGGGAGGCAAGCAGAGGGGAGGATGAGCAGCAGCAGGTTACAGGAGGAAGAAGACACGAGGAGCAGGAGGAGAAGGTCGTGGCAAGTTGTGGTGCCGCCTTGGATCCTGCTTTCCAAACTGGGCGTTCCGAAGAGATCCCTGGGGCCTCGGGACACTTCCGGAGGCTCAAGAAGAGCTAAAACCGTCCAGAAATTTCCCAGGGCTGTCCGAATCCTGCCCCCTCGAGCCCAAGGGATCGAGGGCAGCATTTAGTACCAGTTCCATGTAGGCCTACAATGAGAATGGATGAATCGTTCCGGGTCGCTCCGGGACGCTCTTGGGGCGTTCCGGAGCGCTTTGGAACGGTCGCCGGCGCCCGCTGCGTCCTCCAGATCCGCGGGCTCTCACGGATTCCTGGTCTACCTTCATTTGGATTTATCCTCGTCTTGCTCTCGCCTGACAGTTGCAGGAGGTGGTGGGGGAGGGGGGGAGGGCGCTTGCCCCGTGCTGCTGCCAGGCCGTGCGGAGCTGTTGTCTCATTCGTTTCGTTCTGGGTTCGAGCACTTTCCGACGCAATGAGCCTCGCTGCTCAGTGTCGGGCACGTGAGCTCGGAATACGAAGAAGGAGGATGAGGATCAGTAGGGAGGGGGATCGGATGAGGAGGAGGAGGAGGAGCATCATGATATTGATGGCGCCGTCTTGCTGAGCAAATGAGGAGGAAGGGTGGGAGGAGTGGGAGGAGGGCGACAGAGAATGATCAGTATGAGGAGGAGGAGGCGGAGGATGAGGCTGAGGCTGAGGATGAGGAGGAGGATGACCAGTGGAAACCCAGGAGTCATCCACGATGTTGGAATCAATCCTCCCTCCAAGCTCCCTCTTCGTAGGCCCCTACAACGATTCATTTCCACTGAGGGAGCTGCCTCGTTGGAAGACAACCGTTTGAAGACCCTGAAGCATGCCAAACCAATGTTCTTGAGATTCCAACGTCACGGATTAACCTGACCGTTGCGTCTTGACGATCTTGAATCGCGTCAGAACGCCATTCCCCAGACTTCAACACAGCGAATCAACGTAACTGTTGCGCCCTCAGAACCATGAATCCTTCCAACAACTGTTTGGTATGCTGCTTATGGCAATCCGTGAAACTCTTGCAAAGTTTGGAAGCGAACGTGCGCGGCGCTAAGAAGAGAGCCACATGTTGAAAACGACCCGCCCTCAATCCGTGAAATTCTTGCACAGTTGAAAACGAATGTGCGCGGCGCCAAGGCGAGAGCCACATTTTGAAAACGACCCGCCCTCAATCCGTGAAACTCTTGCAACTGTCCAAAACGTCTGTGCGTGGCGCTAAGGCGAGCCACATTTTGAAAACTACCCGCCATTTGTGAAACTGCTGTCATTTTTTTATAACTTCTGAGTCAGGAGTGGTGAGGACGTTTCAGGCGAAACGCCCGGCCCGCCCTAACAGCTGGCCTCGGGGTGAGCCAGGGGGAAATAATTTAGAAGGAAAATGAATGGAGGAGGAGGAAGAGGAGGAGGAGGGGGAGGGGGAGGAGTATTTAGTACTCCTCGGGCCGCCCGTCGCCACGCTCCACACCGCGGCCTGGTGCGCGACTAAGGGGAGGCGAAGGAAAAGGTGAGGGAGGGCGGCCTCAGGAGGAGGAGGAGGAGGACGAGGAGGAAGGGGGACGGGGGAGGAGGGAGGAGGAGGAGGAGGAGGAGGAGCAGGCGGGCAGGGTCAAGAGAGACGTGACGTACTCCTTCCGAGCGAAGAGGAGTAGGAGGAGGAAAGGGGGGGGTTCTCCTCCTCCCCCTCCCTCTTCGGTAATACTGCTGCTCGTCCTCCAACTCCTGTCCCGCCTCCTCCTCCGCCTCTCTCCCGCATCAGGGGGAGGTGGGATGGAAGGCGGATGATGATCGCGTCGTTAGCCCCCAAGCCACCACCAGCGTCAGCGTCAGGAGGCGGAGGGGAGAGGTGGAGGAGGAGGAGGAGGCGAAGGAGGAGGAGGAGGAGCAGGAGGAGGAGAAGGAGGAGGAAGAGGAAGATGAGATGGGAAGAAGATAGGAATGACAACGCAATGGCGAGGCTGAGGAGGAGCATGGCGATGGCGATGGCATGGTGATGATGATGGCGATGGTGATTGCGATGGCGATGGTGGTGGTGTGGTTGATGATGATGATGATGATGATGATGATGATAATCATGATGATGATGTTGATGGTGATGATATTGATGGGGATGATGAGGAGGAGGAAGACGACGAGGGCGATGAGCATGACGACGATGACGATTCTGATGATAGCGAGTATGAAGATGGTGATGCTGCTGATGCTGATGCTGTTTTCGATGATGCTGTCGATGTTGATGTCGATGGTGATCATGGCGATGGTGCGTATGTTTGACGTTGATGTTGCTCGTGATGCTCATGGTGATGGCGATGGTGATGATGATGATGATGATGATGATGATGGTGATAATACGGATGATTCGGTGACGGGTGATACTGATAATGATGATGATGCTGCTGCTCCTTTTGTTGCTGCTGATGATGGCTATCATGTATGTGTCTATTTCGGGTGCTACATATGATGACACTGATGATGACGATGATGCCGAAACTGGTGATGCTGGTAATGGTGAGGCTCATGATCAGTATGACGCTGAGTATTGTGGTGATGGTCTTGGAGAAGACGTTGATGATGCTGACGACTGTGATTACGATGATGCGGATGATACTGATGATGTTGCTGATGATGATTAGTGTGTTGAATCCGATGCTGATGATGATGTTGGTGATGATGATGATGATGATGATGATGATGATGATGATGATGATGATGATGATGATGATGATGATGATGATGATAATAAGGACGATGCTGATGGCCATGATGATTATGCTGATGAGCACGATGAGGTTTCTGTTGATTGTTGTGATGATGATGCTGATGCTGATGATGCTCATTCTGATGATGATGCTGCTGATGATGATGGGGATGCTGATGCGGCCAATGCGGACGGTGAAAATGGTGTTGCTGATGCTGACGATGATGGTGATGCTGATGCTGATGATGATGATGATGATGATGATGATGATGATGATGATGTTGATGATGATGTCTATTCTGATGATGATGGTGATGGCGTCGATGATGACGATGATGATGATGATGTTGCCTATTCTGATGATGATGTTGATGATGATGCAGATGATGGTGATGGTGATGGTGACGGTGATGATGATGCTGGTGATGCTGATGATGACGCTGCTGATGATTCTGATGATGGTAATGGTAACGGTAGCGGTGATTCTCATGATGGTGCCAGTGGTGTTGATGGTGGTGTTGACGTTGAGCTTTTCGCGTTGATGATGACGATGCTGTCGATACTGCGGCGGATGATTGTGCATACATGTGTATTTACTCATGCACCACGGAACTATAAGACGAGATGGATATTCCAGGCATCCGCATGTATGTATACACAGACACAGATCCAGATACGCAGGTTGGTACGCACATGCGCGTATGTAACTCGCAAAGGTAAAAAAGGGGTAGACGGAGGAAGGACGCGCAGGCGGAGCAGGAGGAGGAGGAGGAAGAGGAGGAGGAGAACGAGGGAGCATGGAGGAGAAGGAGGAGGAGGAGGAGGAGGAGGAGGAGGAGAGGAGGAGGAGGAGGAGTAGGAGAAGGGAGCATGGAGGAGGAGGAGGGGCATGGAGGAGGAGGAGGAGGAGGAGGAGGAGGAGGAGGAGGAGGAGGAGGAGGCAGCCGCGCGCGCGCTAGAAGGAGAGGAGAGACAGGATAGGGATGAGGCAGGAAAGGAGGAGGAGGAGGAGGAGGAGGAGGGAAGAGGAGGAGGGAGGAGGAGGAAGCCGGCCGAACTGCTGGGCGACCCCCTTCGGCACCCGGGGGGCCGCCGCGGCCGCAGGGCGACGACGCCGGCCGCGGCGGGAACGCGGGGGAGCCGTGGCCGCCCGGGGACGACGAGGAGCGCGGCCGCTGTGTGGGGGTGGGCTCCTCCTCTCTCCTCCTCCTCCCTCTCTCTCCTCTCCTCTCCTCCCTGTCCTCTCTTCCTCCTCTCCCTCCTTCGTCTCTCGCCTCTCCCCATCGTCTCCTCTCTCTCTCTCTCTCTCCTCTCCCCCCTTCCTCTCCTTCTCCTGCGCTTCCCCCCTGTCCTACCCTCCTCTCCTCCGCCGCCGCGTTCCTCTTTCCTCTCCTGCTCCGCCCTTTACTCTCCTCCTCCTCCCCCTTCCTTTCTCTTTGCCCCCTCTCACTCCACTCCAATCTCTCTTCTCCTCTTTCTTCTTCTCCTCCCCCCTACTAATCCCCAGTCTCCTCCTCCCCTCCTCCTCCTACTCCTCCTCCTCCTCCTCCTCCTCTTCCTCCTCCTCGTCCTTCTCCTTCTCCTCCCCCTCCCCCTCCCCCCTCTCCTCCTCCTCGTCTTTCCTCTCCTTCTCTCCCCTCCTCCTTCTGCTCCTCTTCTCCTCCCGCTTCCGGGGAGCCCTTCTGCCCAAGACCCACAGGGCCGTCAGGGCACGACTCGGTATGTTAATGTTGCCCTGTGACAAGGGGCCCAGACCTTGAGGGGGTTCCATTTTGCGAGACTGTCACGACGTTGGAGTTCCAGTGGAGGCCAGTGGCCAGGCGGCGCGCCCGTCTGGGGCCTCGACAGGAGTGTCCGCGGAGATCCCCCGACGATGTCGACGACTTCGACGTGTTCGCTTCGCAGGTGTAGGTCGGCGTTTCTGTGGGTTCTCGTCGTCACGTCTGGGCACAGCTCGAACAGCTGGCAAGGACGGACGTTCGAAGGGGCGGGGGGCAGATCTCGGATCGTTTCTTTGCGAGTGCAGTGGTCAAGCAGTGGCGAAGCGTGTTGGCTCGCCTATAGTCCCACCAAAGAATGTTCTAAGAACCTTTTGTGGGTTGCACGAACTGTTCTTAGAACATTTCTGGCTTGGGCTGTCTTGTTTTAGCTCATCGGGCTGATGGTATGATACCATGTTTAAGCATTTATTTTTTGAGGTTCTAAGAACATGCTCGAAGACATGCCAGGACCATCGGTCCCTGCTCAAGATGCTGTGTATGTCACAAGCTTGGAGGTATGGGAGGACAGGGGATCTGAGGTTCCTCGGCGCTTCTGGCTCCCTGGGGACACACATCAAGCCCGTGATGAAGAGTTGGTCCTTTCGGCGGCGAGCGCGGGGTGGACATGAGAAGGAGAAGGCCTCCTCAGAAGGCGGCGGGACTTCTCGGAAGCCCTCGCGCCCTCTGATAGAAGTTTTGTCTGTCTTCGGGGAAGGCCTGGAAGACTCCTCAGAAGGCTGGGGGACTTCCGATCCCTCTGAGAAGGCCTCCTCCTTCGCACTTCCCCCCCTCGCTCGCCGCCGATGCCTGCGCCCAGGGGTCCAGGACCAGTCCCCCTCTTGGACCCCCGATGCCCAGAGGTTGGCCTCCCCTCCGAGAAGGACCTGCCGAGGCTGCTGGCAGAAGGGCCTCGCCCGCGGAAGGCCCGCGGACGCCCCGCCCGGCCACGATGGTCGTGCTCGCCGCGCCGGGGGGAGGGGAGTCGCCTGGGAGCCCTCCCTGCTCCCAATACCTCCATCGTTTTTGTTTGTTTGTTTTTTATTTCACCCCTGTGACCCGAAGAAAGACAACGACACACCCACACACCCACACACACCCACACACACACATTCACACACACACACACACACGCACACGCACGCACGCACGCACGCACACACACACACACACACACACACACACACACACACACACACACACACACACACACACACACACACACACACACACACACACACACACACACACACACACACACACACACACACACACACACACACACACACACCACACACACACACACACACACACACACACACACAACACACACACACACACACACACACACACACCACACACACACACACACACACACACACACACACACACACACACACACACACACACACACACACACACACACACACACACACACACACACACACACACACACACACACACACACACACAACACACACACACACACACACACACACACACACACACACACACACACACACACACACACACACACACACACACACACACACACACACACACACACACACACACACACACACACACACACACACACACACACACACACACACACACACACACACACACACACACACACACACACACACACACACACACACACACACACACACACACACACACACACACACACACACACACACACACACACACACACACACACACACACACACACACACACACACACACACACACACACACACACACACACACAACCACACACACACACACACACACACACACACACACACACACACACACACACACACACACACACACACACACACACACACACACACACACACACAAACACTTTTGGCGCTCCGCGCGGATTTCTGGGATCCGCGCTGTGCCCCCGCTTCGGCGCCTCCGGTGCCGCCTCCGCGCGCCAGGGAGGGGGGTCCAGCGCAGATCCAAGAGATCCACGCGGATTGCCGAACATTTCTGTTTATGGCGCTGGTTCTTCTTCTGAAGACCTCCAGCGGCTAGTCTTGATTGTTTCTCCCCTGTGACGCAGCGGGGGGGCCACGCAGACGCGCTCCTGGCTTCCACGAGCGCCCCCGCGCCCGCCCAGGAAGCCCCCCCTGCCTTCCAAGAAGCCCCCCGCCCTGGCAGAACGTGCCGCCCTCCTCGTGGCCACCCCCGCGAGCGCGCCGCTGGCGGCCGATCGGCCCACCGCCCGCGCCATCGACGGCCCTGCCCGGCTCCAGTCCGCAGGACGACGACCTGGGCTTCCGCCCGCCGGGCGGGCCCGCCTCGGCGGGTGCAGGTCGCTTCGCCGACGAGGACGAGGTGGGCGGGGGGCCGCTTGGGGGGTGCGGGCGGGGGGCGGCGGAGGCGGCGTGGCCGACGGCCTGTCGAGGCAAGAGGGGCGGCGTGGCCCCGGGATGAGGAGGAGGAGGAGGAGGAGGAGGAGGAGGAGGAGGAGGAGGAGGAGGAGGAGGAGGACCGACAGGGTGGAAGCGGGGAGGAGGGCGTCGGGCGATGGGGGGGAGTGGGGAGGAGGAGGAAGGGGGGAGGGGGAGGAGGGAGGAGGAGGAGGAGGAGGAGGAGGAGGAGGAGGAGGAGGAGGAGGAGGATGGTAAGTGAGAGCGAGCGCGCGTTCTGTCGTCGCTTGCGGGGAGGGGGGCGTGCTAGGACTCTCCCTGGGCAGGGGAGGAGGGAGGGATGCCGCCTCCCCTCCGCCCCCCCTGGCCCAGTGCAGGGTAGGTGGATGTGGAATGGCGTCGCGACGACGATGACGACGATGTCGACGATGTCGACGACGACGACGACGACAACGATGCGTGAGGGAGTAGTGCAACATGGTGTAGCTGCTTCTTTTCACCCCCACCCACAGTATCATCAGTTCGTCGCTCAGTTTTGCGCTGGTCGGAGCGGTCTTTCTTTTATGTTGTCGAGATGGATTTGACTCTTGTGAGCCAATTCGAGGATGCAGCGATAGCTCGGTCGACGCCGTCGACGCCGCCGCTACTCCGGTTTGCGGCGATGCAGACTTCCTTTTCGATTGAGGTTTGTATCGTGTCGATCCGTCACGGCAGCCTTTCGGCGGCACTTTCCTGGTGGCTTGGGCTGCGATGGTCCGAATCCAGAGGGCGTGCGGCGTGGGCCTTTCGGAGCAATGGCGAGCGCGCGGAACTGAAGGGGGGTGGCTCGAATCAGTAATGCGCTGGGTTGGCGTGTGTCCAGTCTCGGTGATGCATTCAACGGAACTGCTGGGCGCTTCGTGTAACCGATGACAGTTGAGCCGGGACTGGGGGGTAGAGAGTGAGAGAGAGGGAGAGGGTGAGAGAGACAGAGGGTGAGAGAGGGGGGTAAAGAGAGAGAGAGAGAGAGAAAGAGAGACAGGGAGAGGGTGAGAGAGAGGAACATACAGAGAACGAGAGAGTGAAAGAGAGAGAGAGAGAGGGAGAGATGTTTAGAAAAAACAACAGAGAGAGGGAGAGAGGGAGAGAGAGAGAGAGAGAGACAAAGAGAGAGAGGTGGCGGGAGAGAGAGAGAGAGAGAGAACGATAGAGAGGGAAGGGGGAAGGAAGAGAGGGAGAGATAGAGAGAGGGAGAGAAGGAGAGACACATGCCCACAAACATGTGCAGCTACACACACATATATATATGCCATATGTTTGTAGGGGGGAGTGAAGCGGAGGACGCGGCTGCGTGAAGCAACAGATGGAAGACACACGATCTTGCAAATCTCTGATGAGGCATCTGTACACGACGATCTGTTTTTTGTTTTAACGGGTTATCATAGAACTGGGGTCCATGCTCGATTTTCGGGCGTCGTTGCACGTCGGACACCACGTTGTTCTAATGTTTTCGCTACATGCCGGCTTGCCGAAGGGAAACACTAGCCGCGACCGCCTATGATCCAGCCCCTCCCGTTCAAGAGCAACACTTGCCGATCGAGCATCCACCGCACGAGGTTGCAGCTGGCGAGAGAGGTCTGATTTTGATTCCTCGGGGTCGCTCCCGGGGCTCGCCAGATGATTCGACTCCTGGGCAGCTGCGACGCCCGGGCTTTTTGGGGCGTTTTGGGGGCAGGGGTGAGAGCGGCTGCTGTCGAGCCACTTGCACTGAGATCGCTCGCGCTCTCTCAGCGTGGGCGTGGGATGGTGATCCGTCACCGTGCCGACCCGATGATTGCCGTTCACTCCAGCTGGCGAAGTATCCAGCTGCGCTTGCGTGAGCGACTTCCGATTACTGACTTCGTGGCAACCGCTGCTTTTTTGAGTTCAAGGAGTGTTTCGAGGCATTTGGCGCAGTAGTTCCAAGTCTGGGTGTACCGTTCCGGGTATGCTCCTGAATTTGGAGTGCGCTTGTGGACCTTCAGTGTCTGGCCAGTGTCAAGCTGGCCATCTGCTTGGCTTTCGCCCTCTGCGCACTCTTGTCGGTGCACCTCCAGCGTTTCGCCTCGTTTCTCCTCTAGTTGTCTTTACGTGCACTTCTTCGGTTTCGCCCACTTTGGCAGCTCAGAGTAGCATGAACAGACAAGATGAGGAAGGATGGAGGTGGAGGATGCTTGAATGAAGATAAAGGCGGAGGTACATGTGGATGATGAGGTGGAGGAGCAGCAGGAGTGAGGGAGGGAAGGAGGGAGCTGTGACGAGGATGCTGTCCCCTTTCAGGCGATGGTGGCGAGTAACCCGTCGCTGTGCCCCTGCCCCTGGATGGCCCTTCCTTGCTGGCTCTCCGGCGGGGGATCCTTCCTCCCAGGGGGATGGTGTGTGGGCGAGGGTGGGCAGACGGACAGTTTCTGGGAGACCCCGGCCCGACTTGGTTCATAGATTCCCCAAACGGTGCCTGCACCTGGGTGTCTGCCCCAACGTTGCTGTCTTCACGGGGTCGCATGGGCGTGCCGAGGCTTCGCCGCGCTGCTGCCTGTCGCCGCCCGTGGGCGCGCCCGGTGGGCGCTTCGTGATGGCGAGGTTCCTCCACGTTGCCGCCCGTGCGCGCCTGGCCGGCGCGTCGCGTGCTGGACAGGTGTGCCGAGGTTGCGCCACGCTGCTGCTCGTGGCCCGTCGTGGGCGTCTCGCGGGCGCGTGCCATCCCCTGCGTAGGATGGGCAGCGCCTAGGCACCACGTGGCTTTTTCCATGCAGCCAGCACCGCGCAGCTTTCACCGCACGGGTTGCACCACATGCCTGCCAGGAGATGGCTTGCACCACACTGCTTGCACCGCAGGGCTTGCATCGCACATGCTGCACCACCTAGCTCGCAGCACATTGCCTGCATCGTAGTGGGAGGATGGAGGTGCTTATTCTCCCAACAGTGTGAGTGTGTGTGTGTGTGTGCACCTGGGGCTTCCTTCTTCGCTCATCCAAGGCAGGTCATGGGTGTGTCGAGACTTGCTGGTGGGTGGCCGTGGGCGCCCAGTGGATCCTAGTGGGCGCCCCGTGCGCTGGGCCGAGGTGTCGAGGTTTCGCCTGGTGGGCGGCGGTGGGCGCCCAGTTGGCGCCCCATACGGCCAGTGGCGCCTCGTGGGTGCCCTACGAGCTGGCTGGGTTTGATGAGGTTCCGCCTGATGGCCAGCCACAGCCGCCTCATATGCGCCAGCCCGCACCATGTTGCCTGCGCGGTATGGCTTTCACTCTGATGTTTTCCACCTCAAGGCTTACACCGCACAGCTTGCACCACCGAGTTCACCACGCTTGCGCCCAAGAACAAACAAATAGCTGGCACAATCTGGTACCACACTGCTGACGCCACACACGTAGCATATATCACATGGCTTGCACCACATCTATATTCAATCGCTCCGCTCATTCCGCTGGCCCGTGGTGTGCCGTCGCAGGCGTTTACCTGCGCGTTCGTGGCCTCTTGGGGCCTCTTGGGGGCTGATTGGGGGCCTCTTGAGGCCTCTTTTTGGGAATCTTGGGCGCTCGTGGGGCATCCAGGGGCCGCCTGGGCTCTCTTGGGGGCCTCTTAGGGCAAACGGCTCGAGTTGGTGGTTCATGTTCCCCCTCTTGGGTCTCTCTTGGTGCCGTCTCGGGGCCTTCTTGGGCGATCTTGGGCGCCTCTGGGGCCGTTTTGGGCCTCTTGGGCTCCCTTGGGCCCATCTTGGGGGCATGTTGGGCCGTCTGGGGACGATGAGGGGAATGGGACGATTTTTGCTTGTTGGGGCCCTCTTGGAGAGCCTCTTGAGGCTGTCTTGGGGCTTTTTCGCGGCCTCTGGGGCCATCTGTAGACCACCTTGAGCGTCGTGGAGCGATTTTTCGGCGACTCGGGGCTTCTTGGGCTGTGTAGGGGGCGTCCCGGCGCCTTCTTGGCGCGCTCCTGGACCGCCCTGGGGGAGTCAGCTGGGCATCGCCCGGGCATCGGCCAGGCATCGCCCAGGCATTGGCCGAGGTATTTTTCGTCCAGGGGTCTCCAGGGGCCGCCACGCGCGCGCGCCAACCCGAAGTAGACCACTCCTTGGGAGGCAAGTGAGGGTCCAAAATCAAGACCCCCCCGCAATCTTATTTGACGAGGCCCGTTAGACCCCCCCCCAAAAGTAGACCCACCCATTATTATGAGATCCGGAGTAACCTGTCGCCGAAGATCTTAGTACGCCTCTGGCCCGTTGGCCCGGCGAATTGCACCACGTTGCCTGCAGCGCGCGCAGCTTGCACCCCGCAGCTTGCACCAGATGGCTTGCACAGCCAGAGTGCTGTAGCTATTTTTGTTGGGGGCCAGCGCTGGCAAACACAGAACGCACATGTTCATATCTACATATATATATATACATAAACACAAATCTATATACACATGTATCTGCAGCTTCTCAATTATCGCAAGCTTGGGGTTTCCCCGCCAGCCCATGCAGAAGTGATTCCCATGCAGAAGAGATTGCAGAAGCATGGGGGAGACACTTGCGGGGGCGCCTTTCCGATAGAAGCTGAGGTCTTCCCGCGCAGCATGGGGACCTCTCTCTGGGAGCCTCATGGAGTTCTCGAGGGTCATCCCGGGGCTTTCTTCGGGCTTCCCCAAAGAGGAAGACGGGATGTTGGCAAAGCTCGCATTCTAAACCACCTGCCCCCAGAGGGTTGGTTTGATCCATTAGTTGAAATGTCGTGCCCCAACATAAGAAAACGCAGTAATGTGGAGTGGCATGATAGAGCATGGCCAACCATGGCATGACATGGTGGGGCATTGCATGTCGCACCGTGTGACCCAGCACTAGAATATAGGTCTCCTAGAAGGGGTCGGAGTAGACGGGGTCGGAGGATCGCGCCGCATCGCCGATGCATCGGAGATGCGGCTCGATGTGGAACCCGATTTCCCTCACGCCGACGTCGCCAATGCATCGCCCACGTCGACGATTCATCGCCGGCGCATCGGCGATGCATCGCCGATGCATCGCCGATGTATCGGCGATGCGGCTCGATCCGCCGAGTTCATCTACTCTGACCCCATCTACGAGGCCTCTATAGAACCCGATAGCGCAGACTGGCATTCCCAGAAACTCGGCGTCGTGACTTTTTTCACAGCGCCAGACTTTAGTCCCGAGCCGTCTTTTGGGGGCGGCCCTGGGGCCTGGCGGGGGCGCCAGTGTACACCGAAAGGTTCCCAGAACCTGCCGGCGTGGTTTCTTCCATATTCTGCGGGGAGGTCTGCGTATTGCCCTTAAGTCGGGTATGTTCCTTTACAGGGGGAGTATGCAGCAGTAGTCCAACAATACTCTGGGAACGATTCTTTCTAGTACAGAACAACTAGTTTTGAGTATGGTTTGAGTCTGCTTTTTTTTTCCGTTCCAAGTCCGTCTGCAGGAGGACATGCCCGACCAATGCTGCCCGTCATCGCGCCAGGAAGTTGGATGGCACATGGCGCGGCCAGCCTGGGCGAGCCGCGGACCCAGAGATCCGACGTCGTGAGCTTTTCTGTGCGGGGCCCCCGGAAGCCTCGACCCGTTCCCCAGGACTGGTTTCCCTCCCGAGCCGTTTCTGACGGCCCCGAGGCCCGGCGAGAACCCCCAGGGGCCGAACCAGGAGCCTTGAGACGGGGGTCCGTGCAGACGGGGGTCAGCCGGGGCGCCGGATCCTGCAGGATCCTGCGAAGACCCCCTCTGGCTGACCGGGGTCCGCGAGCCGCTCGTGGCCGCGAGGCGGCCGCGCATATTGGTTGACCCGGGCTTGCGAAGACCTGCGTTGCAGTTGTTTTTTTTCCCGCATTGCATTTTTGGGTTTCCTGCTGACCCGGGTCTGGAGTGCCCCGGGCCAGGAGATCCCCGACCGAACTTAACGAAAAAAACCCGCGTCTTGATTTCTGTTCAATGCGTTGGACCTCTGGGGGCCACGCCTGGCATCGCTCGGACGTATGCCTTCTTCCTTCGGCGAGGACCCTCGAGGAGCAGCCTTGACCATCTGGCGAAAAAACCTTGCACGAAACCGATCAAAGCACACGGGAAATGGACGTCCGAGCGATGGCGAGACACGGCCGTGGCCGCACGCCGGGCCCGGCGCTCGGCCCCGCACGTGTGGCGGGGCGCGCCGGGCGCTCCCGCAGCCGTGCCCACAGCGCGGGTCCTCCCACGGGGGGGGGGCGCTCCAGGAGGGGCCTCGCCACGCGCCCGGGGGATGAAGTCGGGCCTGTCCCCGCTGCAGGGGGATTTTCGACGAAAAACAAAGCATACCCCCAAAAGAAACAAAACATAGTCCAACAAATAGTCTGGGGACTATTTTTGTTGAGTATGGTTTGATCTTCTTGGGCATGTTCGGGGTACTCTTAATCTTCCGACATAACCCGAGGGTGAAGTCGGGCATGCCCCGCTGCAGAGGGAAGGTTCCAAAGCAGTCAAGCCACAGTCTGGGGACTTTTGTTTGACGCCGAAGAAGAAGAGTCACACGTAAGCATAAACCTTTGGCGCTCCGCGCGGATTTCTTCGCTCCGCGCCTGGGCTCCCCGGCGGCGCCTCTGGTTCCGCCCCTGGCGCGCTCCGCGCGCCAGGGAGGGGGGTCCAGCGCGAATCCCTCCCCCTCCTCCTCCTCCTCCTCCTCCTCCTCTCCTCCTCCTCCTCCTCCTCCTCCTCCTCCTCCTCCTCCTCCTCCTCCTCCTCCTCCTCCTCCTCCTCCCCCCCCGAGGGGGGTCCAGCGCGAGTCCAGGAGATCCGCGCGGGGCGCCAGAAGTTTAGGTGTATGGCGTGTTTTCCTTGTAGGTCATGCCCCTCTACGGAAAGAGAGTTCAACAAAATTTAAAAAAAAGTCTGGGGCCTGGGGACGTTTTTTTCGTTTTCTCTTCTCTGACAATCGTTGACCATTTGGGAGCATTCCTGGACTATTTTTAATTTTTCGTCGATGGTCCGCCTGTAGGAGGACATTCCCGACCTAACCCTAGGAGGAGTCTCCGAGGAGTTGGCGCCTCTTCCGGGGCGGAGGGCCGCGGCGGCGGGCGTATACAACGAGGCCGCCTGCGGCGGCGGAAGGCAGCAGGAGCAAAATGATGGGCCTGTTTTCCACCACCACCACCATAAGTTGGAGGGGGGAAGAAGGAGGAGGAGGAGGAGGAGGAGGAGGAGGAGGAGGAGGAGGAGGAGGAAGAGGGGGAGAAGCACCCCCTCGCCCTCCTACTTATGGTGGTGGCGGTGGAGAACAAGCCCACCACAAATGGCGGCCATCCAAGGGATGCACATTCTGGCTCAGGGTGTCTGGACCCCGCCACGTATGAATAAGGCCATGTGTCCGCGGACGACTTGTGTGTTCCGAGCCGCGTTGGCGCCTTCCGGCGGCTTCGTCGATCCTCGACCCAGGATCGGTATACGGTGCACAGTCTTCTGTAGGCCCTCAGAGCAGAGCGGCCATGCACTCTACCGTGTTGCAGCGGGGCCTGCATGGTACGGCGCAAGGGACCCGTTCTCGTGATGCGTGCTTCCAGCTCCCTGGCGCAGCAGTGCAGCCGCGCAGCCGTCGGCCGAGGCTCTCTCGCGGCCGGGGGGGGCGCCTCCGCTCCCACTGGCCGGGAAGGTGGACCCCTACGGCGAGTCCTTCTGGGGCGGGGGCAAGGCCGACGGGCCGAAGCCGAAGAAGGACGGCACGCGGTGGCGAAGCAAGGTGGTCAGTCGAAGAAGGGGAAACGCCATAAGCATAAATCTGATGTCGCTTCTCGCAGATTTCTTGGATCCGCGCTGGGCCCCCCCGGCGGCGCCTCCGGCTCCGCCCCTGGCGCACCCAGCGTATAGACCCGAGAAGTCCGCGCGGAGCGCCAAAAAAGCTTCTGCTTGTGGCGGGCTTTCTTCTTCTAGGTCAGGGGGGTTTCTCCTTTCTCCTTTCTCCTTTCCCCCCTCCCCTCCCCCCTTCCCCTCCCCCTGGGCGGTTTTAAGTGCATGGTCTTCGGACGTCCGCGTCGGCTCTCGGCGGTCTTCCGGCCTCGGGAGGGGCGCTCCCGCGGTGGGGGGCCTCGCCGCGAGCGCGCTTTTGGGGGGCGGTGGTGCCCTGTGGGGGGCGTCTCTCGGCACGGCCCCCGGAGGCCCGAGGCTAGGCTCCTCCTCCTCCTCCTCCTCCTCCTCCTCCTCCTCCTCCTCCTCCTCCTCCTCCTCCTCCTCCCCGGTCGCCCAGTCATTCGGTAGGCAATCGTGGGGGCCTGGCATGCCTTGCCGAATCCGTTCCCGGCGTCGGCTGGCGTCGATGAGCGTCTGGGAGTCGAGGAGGTGCGCCGATGCAGCGTCGGCTGGCGCCGATGAGCGTCGGCTCAGCGTCGAGGAGCGTCGATCCGCGTCGATTCGCAAGGGCCGACAAGATGGCACGGGAGGCTCCCGCGAGTTGTGCCACCGGATATTCATCGCCCACATGGGGGGCCGGGTAGTCCACCCCGCCCAGGAGCGGGCGGATCCGTTATCGGGGCCCCGTCGCCTATATACGGGGGGGGCCCAGGCCAAGAAACACCCTGTTTGCCTCCGGGGTGCCCCGGGGTTTCTCGGGTTCTGAGGGTTCTGCTCTGGAAAGCGTGGGCGTTCCCACGACAAAGATCAGTGGACGCCCTGGACTCTCAGGGTTGGGCTTCTCGTGGGAGGCTTCTTGCGGTCGGGCCCCTACTGCGTATGAAAAAATGTCGGCGACGCACGCCGATTTCAGCTCGATGCTTCCCCCCCCTAGACTTTAAGTCGGGCCTGTCCCTCGACAGGAGGAATATTCAAAAGTCGTCAAAAAATAGTCAACAGATAGTCTGCGGACTATGTTTTGAGTTTTGCTTTGACCATTTGGGGGTAGTTTTGGATTATTTTTAATGTATCATCCAAAATCCCGCTGTAGGAGGACACGCCCGACCTAACCCTAGGCCGCTCCCCCTCCAGCGTTCCTCTTCGGGAGAGAGGCTCGCCGCGAGCCCAGGTTTGTGGCTCCTTCTCTTTCTCCTCCTTCCTCCTCCTCCTTCCTCCTCCTTTCCCCCCGTCCTTCTCTTCCTCCTCTCTTCCTCATTTCCTCCCCCCTCCTTTCCTCCTTCCTCCCTCCTCCCTCCTCCTTTCTCCTCCCTCCTCCTTCCTTCCTCCCTCCTCCTTCTCTTCCTCCTCGTCCTTCCTCCCTCCCTTTCGCACACCCGGCATGCCATCTGACCTGTTCCTCTGCTGTTTTCCTGGCGAGCGCCCCTTCTGAGGCGGGGATCGCTTGAGGTGGCCGTCAGCAAGTCCAGGCTTGTCTCTCCTCATCCTCCCGATCAACCCAGCCCTCCTCGCGCTGCGAAAATCCCACGACGGCGGGTTCGGGAGCCGTAGCGACCCCTCCCGCATTGGTTCGAGGATTTGTTTTGGGGGCCCGGGCGGGGAGGAGAGAATTTCATAGGGGGCGGGCAGATGCCACTTCTGCGTTCAAGCTCATGCGCCACCACAGTCCTGAAGATGTGCGACGAAATGACCCCTGGATTCCTTACAGGAAGATTCCTGATCCTACGCTTGTGCTGCCCCCCGGAGGAGGAGAAGGAGGAGGAGGAGGTGGAGGAGGATGAGGAGGAGGAGGAGGGGAAGAGGGAGGCAGCGGAGGAGGGTGAGGAGGAGGAGGAGGAGGAAGAACGCCACAGTCTGAGGATTCGGGTATGAGATTTTCAAGAACGTAGGAGGAGGAAGAGGAGGAGGAGGGGGAGGGACAAGCCCGGGAACCACGATTATAAAACTGTGTCTCTCTCTCTCTCTCTTTCAACCTCTCTATCTCTCTGTCTTCCTCTCCCTCTCTCCCTCACTCTATTCTCTCTCTCTCTCTCTCTCTCCCTCCCTCCCTCTCACCCCTGCACTCTCTCTCTCTGTCTCTTCTCCATTATCTTTTTCATATTTCTGTCTCGCTATAGCTATCTCTCTCCCTTTCTCTCTCGCCTCCATTTTTGTTTCTATCTCCTCTCTCCCTATCTTCCTGGATATATTTCTCTCTCTCTCTCTCTCTCTTTCTCTCGCCTCTCTAGTTTTCAAGATTTCTGTAATCGTGATTCCCGGGTCTTCGGGGGGGGAGGGGGAGGAGTCGGAGGAGGGAGGAGGAAGAGGAGGAGGAGGAGGAGGGGGACGAGGAGGAGGGGGAGGAGGAGGGGGAGGGGCAGGGGGGCAGTGCTCTACTCCCCAGATCGATGGTTTAAACACTGGTTGAATTGGGTTCTCCCCAGCCAACCGGGGAAATGAGCAGCGGCTGGAAGACCTCGCTCGTACACCTTAGGCGATGCTTAAGAAAACCTAAGTTTTCGTCCAGAGTCTCGATTATTCTTAACTTTTCAATGTAGATCCCAAGATTTTGATAGAAGTTCTGGTTTTTTTTTCAAGTTCTGAGACTAAGAATTTCTTAACCCATGATTTCTTAAGCATTTCGCAGGGTGTATTCAACGTAGTTGTGTGTCGTCCATGCAAGAGCCAAGAAACAAGATCAGTACCCTTGAGGAGACCTCACAGGTTCGAGGAAAAATGATTGGGGAATCACCCCACTGCCGGGAATTATGATTCCCAGCCCTCCTGCGCTGGGTTCTCGTTTTGGATAGAGCACTGCTCGCGCGTCTCCTTCCTTCCCGCCCCCCCCCGTCCCTCTCTTCCCCCCCTACCTTTGACCTCGGCATCCCTGGGGGGCTGCGATCTGTGAAACTGTCGCCACTTTCGAGGCCTGCTGGGGGCCCAGCACAGTGGGTACACACGGCGGATTGAAATTGGACCTCGCCATCCCTGGGGGGCTGCGATCTGTGAAACTGTCGCCACTTTCGAGGCCTGCTGGGGGGCCCAGCACAGTGGGTACACACGGCGGATTCAAATTGGACCTCGCCATCCCTGGGGGGCTGCGATCTGTGAAACTGTCGCCACTTTCGAGGCCTGCTGGGGGGCCCAGCACAGTGGGTACACACGGCGGATTGAAATTGGACCTCGCCATCCCTGGGGGGCTGCGATCTGTGAAACTGTCGCCACTTTCGAGGCCTGCTGGGGGGCCCAGCACAGTGGGTACACACGGCGGATTGAAATTGGACCTCGCCATCCCTGGGGGGCTGCGATCTGTGAAACTGTCGCCACTTTCGAGGCCTGCTGGGGGGCCCAGCACAGTGGGTACACACGGCGGATTGAAATTGGACCTCGCCATCCCTGGGGGGCTGCGATCTGTGAAACTGTCGCCACTTTCGAGGCCTGCTGGGGGCCCAGCACAGTGGGTACCCACACGCGGATTGAAATTGGACCTCGCCATCCCTGGGGGGCTGCGATCTGTGAAACTGTCGCCACTTTCGAGGCCTGCTGGGGGGCCCAGCACAGTGGGTACACACCGCGGATTGAAATTAGACCTCGCCATCCCTGGGGGGCTGCGATCTGTGAAACTGTCGCCACTTTCGAGGCCTGCTGGGGGGCCCAGCACAGTGGGTACCCACCGCAGATTCAAATTAGACCTCGCCATCCCTGGGGGGCTGCGATCTGTGAAACTGTCGCCACTTTCGAGGCCTGCTTGCGGGGCCCAGCACAGTGGGTACCCTCCGCAGATTCAAGTTAGACCTCGCCATCCCTGGGTGGCTTCGATCTGTGAAACTGTCGCCACTTTCGAGGCCTGCTTGCGGGGCCCAGCACAGTGGGTACCCACACGCGGATTGAAATTGGACCTCGCCATCCCTGGGGGGCTGCGATCTGTGAAACTGTCGCCACTTTCGAGGCCTGCTGGGGGGCCCAGCACAGTGACGCCACACGCAGATTCAAATTAGACCTCACCATCCCTGGGGGGCTGCGATCTTTGAAACTGTCGCCACTTTCAAGGCCTGCTTGCGGGGCCCAGCACAGTGACGCCTCCCAAGTAGCTTACACATCAAGTTGATTGTCCATACAAGTTTCGGCCAACTCCTCGTTTCCATTGATACAAATGGGTTGGGTACGTCACATGGTAATTATTGGTAGTAGTAGTAGTCGTCGTCGTCGTCGTCGTCGTAGTAGTAGTAGTAGTAGTAGTAGTAGTAGTAATAGTAGTAGTAGTAGTAGTAGTAGTAGTAGTAGTAGTAGTAGTAGTCGTCGTAGTCGTAGTTGCAGTCGTAGTCGTAGTCGTAGTCGTAGTCGTAACACTTGTAGCCGTAGCAGCAAAGCTAGTGTTAGTGTTATTGCCAGTGGTAGTGGTAGTAGTAGTGGTCGTGGCAGTTGTAGTAGTAGTCATTGTGGTAATAGTAGTAGTAGTCGTAGTCGTAGTAGTAGTAGTAGTAGTAGTAGTAGTAGTAGTAGTAGTAGTAGTAGTAGTAGTAGTAGTAGTTGGTAGTAGTAGTAGTAGTAGTAGTAGTAGTAGTGTAGTAGTAGGAGTAGTAGTAGTAGTAGTAGAGTGTCGTATGGTAGTGTAGTAGAGCCCGTAGTAGTTAGTAGTAATACTTAGTAGTAGCATTAGTTTAAGTAGTAGTAGTAGTAGTAGTAGTAGTAGTAGTAGTATAGTAAGTAGTAGGTAGCAGTAGCAGTAGCAGTAAGTAGCAGTAGCAGTAGCAGTAGCAGTAGTAGTAGTAGTAGTCAGTAGTAGTAGTAGTAGTAGTAGTAGTAGTAGAGTAGTAGAGTATTAGTATAGTAGGAGTATAACTAGTAGCAGTAGCAGTAGTAGTAGTAGTAGTAGTAGTAGTAGTAGTAGTAGTAGTAGTAGTAGTGGTAGTAGCAGTCGTAGTTGTAGTAGTAGTAGTAGTGGTAGTAGTAGTAGTAGTGGTAGTAGTAGTAGTAATAGTAGTAGTCGCCATCGTGATAGTATTAGTATTCGTATTAGTAGTAGTAGCAGGAGCAGCAGTAGTAGTAGTCGTAGTAGTAGTAGTAGTCGTCGTCGTGGTAGTTGTTGGTTTCGTAGTAGCAGGAGTAGTAGTAGTAGTAGTAGTAGTAGTAGTAGTAGTCGTAGTCGTAGTCGTAGTCGTAGTAGTAGAAGTCGTAGTAGAAGTCGTCGTCGTCGTCGTCGTCGTAGTAGTAGTAGTAGTCGTAGTAGTAGTAGTCGTAGTAGTCGTAGTAGTAGTAGTAGTAGTAGTAGCAGTAGTAGTAGTAGTAGTAGTGGTAGTCGTAGTAGTAGTAGTAGTAGTAGTAGTAGTCGCAGTAGTAGCCGTAATCGAAGAAGTCGTAGTAGTAGTGGTAGAGCAAGAGCAGCAGCACCAGTAGTAACAGTGATACCAGTTGTATTTTTGTGCGGTAGTAGTAGTAGCAGTGAGAATGGTAGTAGTAGTAGTAGTAGTAGTAGTAGTAGTAGTAGTAGTAGTAGTAGTAGTAGTAGTAGTAGTTGTAGTAGTAGTAGTAGTAGTAGTAGTAGTTCTAGTAGTAGTAGTAGTAGTAGTAGTAGTCGTTGTAGTAGTAGTAGTCGTAGTAGTAGTAGTAGTAGTAGTAGTAGTAGTAGTAGTAGTAGTAGAAGTAAGAGTAGTAGTTGTAGTCGAAGTAGTAGTAGTAGCAGTAGTAGTAGTAGTAGTAGTAGTAGGCGAAGTAGCAGTAGTAGTTGTCGTCGTAGTAGTAGTCGCAGTATCCCTAATAGTAGTAGTCGTAGTAGTGGTAGTAGTAGTAGTAGCAGTAGTAGTAGTAGTAGTAGTAGTAGTAGTAGTAGTAGTAGTTGTAGTTGAAGTAGGAGTAGTCGTAGTAGTAGAAGTCGTAGTAGTCATAGTCGTAGTAGTAGCAGTAGCAGCAGCAGCAGCAGCAGCAGCAGCAGCAGTAGTAGTAGTAGTAGTAGTAGTAGTAGTAGTAGTGGTAGTAGTTGTCGTACTAGGAGTAGCATTTGTAGTCGTAGGCCTTTTTAATAGTAGTAGTAGTTGTAGTAGTAGTAGTAGTAGTAGTAGTAGGTAGATGGCCGTAGGCAGTAGTAGTAGCAGTAGTAGTAGGTGTAGACGTATGAGTAGTAGTCGTATTAGTAGTAGTAGTAGTAGTCGTAGTAGTAGTAGTAGTAGTAGTAGTAGTAGTAGTAGTAGTAGTAGTAGTAGTAGTAGTAGTAGTAGTAGTAGTAGTAGTAGTAGTAGTTATAGGAGTAGTAGTAGTGGTAGTAGTAGTAGTAGTGGTGGTAGTAGTAGTAGTGGTAGTGGTAGTTGTAGTCGTAGTAACATAAGTGGTAATAGTAGTACTCGAAGTAGCCGCCGTCGTAGTAGTAGTAGTAGTAGCAGTAGTAGTAGTAGTCGTCGTAGTAGCAGTAGTAGTAGCAGCAGCAGTAGTGGTAGTAGTCGTGGTAGTAGTCGTAGTCGCAATCGGAGTCGTAGTCGGAGTCGGAGCTGTCGTAGTAGTCGTGGTAGTCGTCGTTGTAGTAGTCGTGGTAGTAGTCGTAGTCGTATTCGGAGCTGTCGTAGTATAGTAGTAGAAGTAGTAGTAGTAGTAGTAATAGTAGTAGTAGTAGTAGTAGTAGAAGTAGTCGTAGTAGTCGTAGTAGCATGAGTAGTAGTCGTAGCCGTTGTAGTTTTTACTGCTGCAACGAGGAGCAGTAGTAGTCGTTGTAGTAGTAGTAGTAGTAGTAGTAGTAGTAGTAGTAGTCGTAGTAGTAGTAGTAGTAGTAGTAGTAGTAGTAGTAGTAGTAGTAGTAGTAGTAGTAGTAGTAGTAGTAGTAGTAGTAGTAGTAGTAGTAGTAGTGGTAGTGGTAGTAGTAGTAGTAGTAGTAGTAGTAGTAGTAGTAGTAGTAGTAGTAGTAGCAGTCGTAGTAGTATTAGTAGTCGTAGTAGTAGTAGTAGTAGTAGTCGTAGTAGTAGTAGTAGTAGTAGTATTTCTAGTAGTACCAGAAGCAGCAGCAGTACTTAACATGATACTATGCTTAGGCGTCTGTGTGGTAGTAGTCGCAGCACCTTTGAGGCATCTTAAGGCCTCGCAGAGGCCCTGTAGATGCTTCGTAGAAGCTTCTAAGAGGCCTCTAAGGCTTCTGGAGGCCTGTACAAAGCAGCCTCTAGAGGTTTCTAAGAGGCTTTAAGAAGCCTGTTGCAGGCCTCTTAGGAGGCTTCTGCCGGTTGGAAGCGTCAAAGATGTCTCTAAGAGGCTTTGTTGAGCGTTTTAGAGGCCCCTCAGAAGCTTCTGAAAGGCGTCTTAGAGGCGTCTTCTTAGAAGCCTCGTAGATTCTTTGGAGAAGCTTCGAAGAGGCTTCTTGGTAAAACCTTTCACAGGATTCTTAGAAGCCGCCTAGAGGCTGTTTGAGGCCTCTTAGAACCTTCTAAAGAGGCCTGAGCGATGCCTCTCTGCCACGAGTCTTCACGTTCTTCATAACAAAGTAACCGGGAAATCAACCTGTCTGACCGGGGAGAACTCCATTCCACTGGTGTATATACCAACAAACCTGTGTTTACACTCGACCGGGGGAAGGGGGAAAGGGAGGGTCCTCCTCCTCATCCCCCTCCTCGCCCCCCTGCTCCTCCAGTGGCGCCTCGCTCCCAGCGGCCGGGACGCCGTGGCGCCCTCTCCCTGGGAGGCGTCGGAGGTAGAGTCGGACCGAGGTATAAGATCGGGCTCGTTTCGGGGAGGCTGCCCTAGTGTGCTTTGTATTTGTGGGATGTTCTTGAGCATCCGAGGGGGTTCTGTTTTGGCCGTCGGAGGGTCTCATGTTCGTGAAGGATGTTCTTCTGTCCTAGGTCCGACTGTACCCATACCGCTCGCCACCGCTGGATTCGCCTCAAGATCCTGGTCAGAACGCGCCCTAGGAGAGGTCCGGGGAGTGGCGGTGTCGGAACCTTCTGGTTTCCCCAGGAGGAGGTTCCGCTGCGCCACCCGCATGGAGATGGTCAGGAATTGTAATTGCCCCCATGCGCCAGCTTTGATTGATGCGGTCGGTCCGATGCTGCGGGCGTCTCGAGGTATATCTCGGAGTTCGGGGGGGACGGGGAGCACGAAACTGGGGAGGAGGAGGTGCAGGATCAAGAGGAGGAGGAGGAGAAATGGAGAGGCGGAAGGATGTTGTTGATGACGATGAGGATGATGCTGATGCTGATGATGCTGATGATGCTGATGCTGATGCTGATGATGATGATGATGATGATGGTGGTGGTGGTGGTGGTGGTGATGGTGAGGTGGGAGGAGGAGGAGGAAGAGGAGGAGAGGGAGGACGAGGACGAGGAGGAGGAGGAGGAGGTGTAGAAGGTGGCCATGGGCAGGGCTCTGGTGGACGCGCTAGTTGCCTGCTGGCCGAGAGAGAGAGAGAGGGAGAGAGAGGGAGAGAGAGAGAGTGCGAGAGAGAGAGAGAGAGATGCCCCGGCCCCCGAGGACCCCGAGGACGACCTGGACGGCCCCCCGGCGGGCAAGGAGCGCAGGGCCCGGACAGGTGCCGCCCAGAGGCCGATGGACGTGGGGGCGGGCAGGGAGGCCGCCCGCAGATGCGGGCAGAGGAACAGGGCTTGAGTTGTACTCCTTCTCCGCTTCCTTCTCCTCCTTCTCCTGCTCCTCCTACTACTACTAGTACTAGTACTAGTACTAGTACGTAGCACCCCGCAATTGCGGATAAGAGTGAGGGGTCGGGCGCGGGCGACGCGGGCGTCGTCGAGCCAGCGGACCTCGTGGCCCACACCTTCCCTGTCGATGGCGGTGTCCTCCTTCTCCTCCTCCTCGTCCTCATCCTCCTCCTCTTCCTCGTCCTCGTCCTCATCGTCATCGTCATCCTCCTCCTCCACCTCGTCCTCCTCCCCCTCCTCTTCTTCCTCGTCCTCCCTCTCCCCTCCTCGTCCTTTCATCATCGTCCTCCCATCATCGTCCTCCCATTCTCGTCCTCCCCTTCATCGGCCTCCATCATCGTCCTCCCATTCTCGTCCATCATCATCATCATCATCATCATCTTCATCATCATCATCAGCATTATCATCATCATCATCATCATCATCATCATCCCCCTCCTCCCCCTCCTCGTCCTCCTCCTCCCCCTCCTCCCCCTCCTGCTCCTCCTCCTTTTCTTTCTCCACATTCTCCTTACATCCTCTCTTCTTCCGCGTTCTCCTCGTCCCCTGTTTACTCCTCCTGCCTCCCCCTCCTTTCCCAAGATAACTGCAACGCAATCCTTTTCCCACTTTATGCTCCCCGCCTTCTTTGATTAATGCAACTCGCCAGGGCAGAGTTGCTGGACGGGCTGGTGTGGATGCGCGAGGCTTGAAGAGGTCCTTGCGGGCTCAGGCGGCATGCAAAAATCCGCCGCCGCGCTTGTGCGGCATTGGTTTGTTCAGTGAACGTGGTTTAGGTCGCGGGTTGGTCGCGGGCTCCCCACCTCCACCTGGAAGGAATGCAAAAGCAGCCCGCCGCAGGCGCCAACAAACATTGGCTTGTACACTGAACGTGGTTTGGGTCGCGGGTGGGCCGCGGGTTCTCCACCTGAAACGAATGCAAAAGATGCCCGCCGCAGGCGCCGAAAAATAAGGTTGATACCCTGAACGTGGTCGCGGGTGGGCCGCGGGCTCCACCTGCAACAAATGCAAAAGATGCCCGCCGCAGGCGCCGAAAAAATGTGGTTTGCACCGTGAACGTGGTTTGGGTCGCGGGTTGCTCGCGAGTTGGTCACTGGGTGGGTCGCGGGCTCCCAACCTGGAAGGAATACAAAAAACCCGCCGCAAGCGCTGAAAATGGTGGTCTGTACCTTGAACGTGGTTTGGGTCGCGGGTGGGTCGCGGGGTGGGTCGCGGGGTGGGTCGCGGGGTGGGTCGCGGGTGGGTGGGTCGCGGGTGCGGGGGGGTCCGCGGGAGTGGGTAGCGGGGTGGGTCGCGGTGTGGGTCACGGGTGGGTCGCGGTGTGGGTCGCGGGGTGGGTCGCGGGGTGGGTCGCGGGGTGGTCGCGGGGCGGTTTGCGGGTGGGACGACGACAACAAACAACAACAAACAACAACAACAAACAAAAACAACGAGAATCCGCACCGCGGAATTCCACTTCAGCCACGCACCCAAGGACAGTGAATGATCGTTCGGCCCCTCACTCTGATTAGTATTACTACTACAACTACAACTACTACTACAACAACTACTACTACTACTACCACTACTACAACTACTACTTCTACTACTACTACTACTACTACTACTACTACTACTACTACTACTACTACTACTACTACTACTACTACTACTATACTACTACTACTGTTACTACTACTACTACTACTTACTACTACTACCTACTACTACTACTACTACTACTACTATAGTACTGCTACTACTCCTAACTACTACTAATAATAAATAAATAAATAAATAAATAATAAATAATAATACTAATAATATACACTAGTAATATAATACTATCGACTAACGACTACTACTACCACTACTGCTACTACTACTACTACGACTACGACTACTACTACTACTACTACTACTACGACTACTACTACTACTACTACTACTACTACTACTACTACTACTACTACTACTACTACTACTACTACTACTACTACTACTACTACTACTACTACTACTACACTACTACTACTACTAGAATACAACTACTATTACTACTACTACTACTACTACTACGACTACTACTACTACTACTACTACTACTACTACTACTACTACTACTACTACTACTACTACTACTACTACTACTACTACTACTACTACTACTACTACTACTACTACTACTACTACTACTACTACTACTACTACTACTACTACTACTACTACTACTACTACTACTACTACTACTACTACTACTACTACTACTACTACTACTACTACTACTTCTACTCTTTCCTCTCCTCCCACTATGGTGAAAAAAGGACCCAGGAGCCGGGAACGTGGAACCGGGAACCCAGTACCAGGAGCCGGGATCCGGGAACAGGGAACCGGGAAACAGGAACGCAGGACGTTGGACAAGATTTCGGGAATGGAGGAACCACGAGAGAGGCAACATGAATGGTGAGTCTACTTTTATGTGTGTATACATGTGGGTCTATATGCATGTATGTATATATGCTTCTTGATACATATATATAGATATATAGCGAGAGGGAGGGAGAGAGACGAGAGAGAGAGAGAGAGAGAAAAAAACGTGAACAAGGTAGCGGGCTTGACGAAAACAGAGAAAGAGTGGATGAGAGAGAGAGTGGTGGAATAATGTGTACTCAGAGAAACAATACGTACACACTCTACACATGTGTACACATGTATGCAAGTACACATGTATATGTATGTTTCTATGTGTGTTTATACATGTTTATAGGTGTGTGCATATATACATATTCATAGATATGAATGTATATATACGTTGCGGTGGAGAGGGAGGTAGGTCGAGAGAGGGAGAAGGTAGAGATAATGGCAGGGCTGCAAATGTATATTCAATTGTGTACCATGTTATGCCCAGTTAGTTTCTGTGGCATTCAGAAACAGTCTTAGAACAACGTATGTATATATGCATAGGTTGCTGCATGATGTATGCAGACAGATGCACAAGCATGTGTGAACATACGTTAGGTTATACGGAAGTATATTACACCGTGCAGTTAGATGCAGATCTGATATGATAAGCTGTACATATCATGTGCGCTCGGACGTCTATTCACAGACATGTGCACAGATAGGGAGGACTTGAGAGACACATGTAAGGGTATACGCATACATACATATATATATAACGTAGAGAAAGAGGGAGTGATAGAGAGGGTGGGAGAGGGAGCCTGGACCATGCATATACATGTATATTAATCTTTCGGTTTGTGATATACACGTGTAATTGGAAACACACGCACGGCGTAAACATGTATATATACAGATAGAGAGAGAGGCATGTAGAGATACATATACATAAACACATCAGCTACTTCGCTGAGGACATTGTCCCCGTGTTGCAGATTCGCGTTTTGATCTTGCGTTTTGGGTAAGCGTCTGTGGCGACGTCGTTGTGACGTTGTCCTGTTTTGAAGATCCACTCTCAGCGCGTTGCGCCTTTTTTGATGCCCTATGAGATTTCACAATGCCGCCTGCATGTCGCTCCGGTGCTGTTTCTAACACGTGTTGGAGTCAAGAGCGAAAAGTGGAAAACGGGGGAAACTCGCCCCACGTGCTTGCAACAGCAACTGAGCGGAGGGCCTTCCTTTCGGGTGCGATCGAGACGGGTGCGGAAAGAACCCTGACCTCCAACGGTCTGTTTTGTTCAACCTTGGAGTTTTTCCGTGATCTCGACCTCCGAGGCCCGCCATTGGGCCCCAGAACTATCAAAGATGGACCGGGGGCGCAACGCTCCCCCCAGGGAAGGGGTTCCTCCTCCTCCTCCTCCTCCTCCTCTTCCTCCGAGCCCCAAGACCTCTGGGGCCGTGGATGTTTGGGAAGGGGGGCGGCGGGAAACAGGAGCCCGTTCTTGGGTGTGGATCCGGGGCTCGACGAGCCTGCAAGTGACCTTCGACCTGCGTGATTTCTGGATTCCCTTTGGGCGCTTGCTGGGACCCCACCCTGCGCGAACGACAGTTTGCCAGATTCTGAAAAACCGGCTGCAACAAATCCTCACCATGAGGGAGAGTGAGTCTTGAGGGAGACAGGAGGCTTGGCATTGTCTTGCCGTTTTCGGGTCTTTGGGGGCCCTGGGAGGGCACCGGGACCGTGACAAGAAAACAGACTCAGGATGAAGAGCTGGCCCCGGGGAAAAGCCCAGGGCCAGGACCCGTCTACATCAGTAATTATCTGCTTCGTTCATCATTTAGTGATGTCCCACTTTGGACGGCCCTCGCTGTCGTCGCCGAGGAGATGGCCATTTGGGGCAAGCGTCGCCCGCCCCAAAGCAGCCGCCGATGTTCTTGGGCAGCGCATGCTGTTGGGCATCGCCCCCATGATTGGCGTCCCCCCTTCGGGAGTGTCAGTCCTCCCTCCTCCCCTCCATCCCCCTTCTACTCCCTCCTCCTCCTCCTCCTTCTTCTCCTCCCTTGCCTTCCTCGTGGAGGCGCGCCGCAGCGAGGAGGCACGAGGGGTAGGCTGACGGCAGAGCTGACGGCTGACGGCTGCAGTAGCGACCCTGGCAGCAGCAGCGGCAGCAGCAGCGGCAGCAGCAGCGGCAGCAGCAGCAGCAGCGGCAGCATCAGTATCTGCAGCATTTGCAGCAGCAGCGGCAGAAGTAGCAGCAGCAGCAGCAGCAGCAGCAGCAGCAGCAGCAGCAGCAGCAGCAGCAGCTGGACTGCCAGAGACCTGCATCCTCCGAGAGTGGGGAAGGGCCGCTGAGAGGAACGAACGGAGGACGGGCGTAGGAGGAGGGCGATCCACATGCACGCTGTGTCCTCCGTTGCGTGTTTGTCGCCAGATGTTTCCGCCGCCGTGGGTGGCCTCGAGGACGCCGCTGTATCGAGGAGGCGTCAGGCAAGTCGCCGCCTCGAGGCAGCGGCCCAGTGGTGGGGCTCTGCCCAGGTGCCCGGCCGGGGGAAGGAGGCTCGCGACCAGCAGGAAGAGTCCGACCCCTGCCTCGCCCCGCGTCCTCGACGGCCCGCGGCAGGCGGCCGCTCGCGCTCGCAGCAGGGGGGAGGCGCCGCCTCTGCCCCGCTGGCTCCCGCCGCTGCTGTTTTTCACCGCGCCGCACCTTCGGCGGGCTGCCCTCCACGGGCCCGCGGGGGCCCCGCGCAGCGCCCCGCCCCTCCTCGCCGACGAGGCGTAAGCGTGGCCTTTCGCCGGAGCGACCTATGTGGTCGGAAACTGGAGCATATACATTGCCACCCTCGGCGGGCTGCCCTCCACGGGCTCGCGGGGGCCCCGCGCGGCGCCCCGCCCCTCCTTGCCGACGAGGCGTAAGAGCGGCCTTTCGCCGCAGCGACCTACGTGGTCGGAAACTGGAGCGTGTACATTGCCAGTGGCGGCTGCTGCTTCCCCATCCGAGGACTCATCGAGGGTCGGGGGCGACGTCGGAGCGGAGTGGTGTATAGTTGTTGGTTCCTCTGCCCGAGGAGACAGCGAACCAGGTATACACCAGGACCCCCCGTGTACACCAGGATCCGCTTTCCTGTGCAAGCTTCAGCGCAGGGCCTGAAGAAGCATCGAGTTCGGTTCCCTATATGGCGCGGGCCCCCCCCCCCCGATCGCCGAGCGCCATGGGATGGTGGCGCCTTTCGCGCCCGCGGCCCCCAGAGTGCCGCGCGCCAGGCGTCGCTCCTCACCCGGGGCCACTCGTGCGCGTGGTCGGTCTCAGTCCGCCGGCGATGCCTTCTCGGCGTCCGCTGCCGGAGGCGCTGCTGGGTAGCCGACGGGAGGTTGCCGTGGCAGGTCGACGACCAGCAGCGCAGCTCCCTTGAAGTGTGGGCCCCGCGTCTCGAGGTGGAGAGGGGGCGGACGCCTGGGAAGCAGCGGCCTCGCCCTCGACAGGCTGCGCCGCGATGGTTCGGGCAGCCTGGGCCCTCGGCCCCAGACCCTTCATAATTTGCGTCTGCTGGCACATGTTGTCGCCGCGTAGGGAGACCTCGACCTACCCTTCAAGATCATCCAATGTTGCACTGGTAGGGCGGCGGTGCATGTGTCTAGGCCTCCCAGATGGGGTCCCAGCAGATGGGGTCGGAGGATCGCACCGCATCGCCGATGCATCGACGATGCGGCTCCATGTGGAGCCCGTGTTTCTCCGCGCCCACGTCGCGGATGCGTCGCCGACGTCGCCTATGCATCGGCGATGCGGTGCGATCCTTCGACCCCATCCAGGAGGCCACCCGCGGATAAGGCGGCCCCGCCTGGGTCCGTGGAGAGCCGTGCACGGCTCGCCGCGTTCTCGGGGGCGAGCGCCGCCACCCAGCATGATGGCAGCATTCGCCCCCTGATGTACAGCGAGCGGCTTGAATAAGGAACACCTGCTTTTCAAAAGGGGCTCGGTCGTTCCTTAGGCTTGCATGCGTTATTCGCAGTTCCTTATATGCGTTATTCGTTATGTATCGTTCCTTATGCGTTATTCCTTGTGATAAAAAAGGGGCTTCGTTCCTTATTTATCGTTCCTTAGGTCAGGCCGATGACTGTATGGCAGGATCCGTCTGTGTGCAGTTTGCCTTGGAGGGCTTGCTCAACAGGGACGTCGGGGTCAGCGCGCCAGACACTTGCAGCTGCCAGCCCCGAGCTACCTGGGAGCGTAACTCTAGTTCGGGCGCCGATTGAGGAACGGCCAGAGAGAGAGAGGGCGGTTCCTAAGATGCCGCTCGATATCTTCTTCCTGTTATGGTCTCATTCTCGGCTCCTGGAGCGGCTGCTGACACAGTGTGCACTGGACACGCACAAGAACGACGAAACATGTCAGCACTGTGTTGCCCGCGTGCGCACTATGGCTGGGTGACAACATACCCGACCTGAGCAAGCTTGGCATTGTTTCAGATCCCTCGGGGCCGATACCTTGGGAGGTATCCCCTTTTCCCGAGCGCTGAGGGAAGCAAAATCCCTTCGACCCCCTCCCTATGCCCGCGACGGACAACGCCTCCTACGTCGAGCACGTCATCGATGAAGCCTAGCTTCCTAGTTGCCTCTCGCTGCGCTCGTTCCCTCCACGCTCGCTGCAACAGGGAGGGGAACAACGACGGGCAGGTGGAGTTAAGAGAATGGGTGGCGCCCCTGGGGCCCCTGACGACAAAAAGGGTCTCGCATCCTCGTCCTGTCCTTGCTGACGTCAGCACTGCCAGCTCCGGAGGGGCCTGGGCACCTCCTCTGGGGCGGGCTCCGCAGCGCTGCCGACGCCAAGCCAAGCAGCCTCGGGCGCCCCTCCCGAGAGGCGAGGGTTGGTGAGGCAATGGCTGCCAGCGTGACGGCCAGGGCCAGCGCGGCGCGCCATGGCGGGTCTTGCGGGAGGACGAGGGCGAGGGCGCGAGACGGAGTCCGAGGTCTGGGCCCCTGCAGTCCGAAGCAAGCGCTCGCCCTCGCTAGCGCGGTCGATTCCAGAGCGTCCAGTCCCGTGGCCCCCGACTCGAAAGCGAGTTTGTTGCTTGGCATCGCTCGGACGTGTGCATTGTTCCTTCGGCGAGGGCCATCGAGGAGCATCCTTGACCATTTCGCGAACAGAAGCACGCACGAAACCGACAAGAATCACAAAACATGGACGTCCGAGCGATGGCGAGATTCGGACCCCGCCCCTGACAGTGTGAGGGTGCCGGCGCCAGCTCGCTCAGGTGGCCTTTGCTGCGGCGTCGTGCCTGAAAAATCTGTGGAGTCTGGTCTGCAGTGTGGGCTGGGCCTCGCCCCCCTCGGGCCACGCCGCGCCAAGGATTCTCTTCTCGGTTGGCCCCCGCAGTGCACGACGACCACTCTGCAACGCCAGAAACCGGTCTGGCCACCATCTCCAGGGCAGCTGGCAATTGCGGCCTTGCGCAATGCCGCGTTACACTCCAGCTTCGCTTCTTTGAGAGTTGCCCTTGCTTTCCAAGAGTCGGCGAGTTCCCTCGCGACGCGTCGATTCCAGATCATGGAGAAGCAACGCATCACTGATCACCATGCTGAACCGCATACTAATGTGTGCGTCGGGGGCACGACGGATACCTGGACCAGAAACGTCGCCAACCCGCAGTCTACAGCGATCCCCGTCTGAACGAAAGCTACCATGATGATACCCCTTGCATCGAGGCAAACTTAAATCCCGTGTACTCGTTGATGCCAACCCTCAGGGTTAAGCTTCGGAGCTGCAGTTCTTCCGCCCCCGAGGCCATCTTGGAATTGCCCAGGTGCTCTGAGAAATTGCTGAGGTCCCGCAGGACTGTTGCGGCCCTAAGGAGGGGGGTACTGCAGGGAAGCTGCGTGTCTCATCGACGCCTCTTGAAAGACCAGTTTCAAGATTGGCTGCCCCCTGTGGTGGTCCAGCGCCTATACAGGCTGGGGCCCCTTTCAACTCACCGGATGTGGTCTCCGTCTTGTCCTTCGGCTGATGCTCGGGGATGCACACTGTGGCCACTTCTCTTTCACATGTGGACATGGCAACGTACTTCTCAACCGCATTGAGGAAAGACACCGTCGTTTCCAGCCTCTGTGGGGGCAGCAACTGGTAATGACGAGTGGGCAGTTCATTGCACGTTTTGCGTCGTGGCTTCTGGGAAGAATACGTGGGCGCCTTTGTCATCATATCCCCCCCGTAATGGGGGAAGGGCAGGGGGGGGGATGATGATTGTGATGATGATGATGCTGATGCTGATGCTGATGCTGCTGCTGCTGATGATGATGATGATGATGATGATGATGATGCTGATGCTGATGCTGATGCTGATGATTATGATGATGATTATGATGACGATGATGATGATGAGGCTGCTGATGATGATGATGATGATAATGATAATGAGGATGATGATGATGATGATGATGATGATGATGATGATGATGATGATGATGATGATGATGATGAGGATGATAATCCTTGCAATGAGGATGCGGATGATGATGATTATGATGATGATGATGATGATGATGATGATGATGATGATGATGATGATGATGATGATGAGGAGAAGGACACTCAGGGGAATGAGGAGGGGGTAGAGGATGAGACAGGAAAACGAGGGAGGAGGACGAAGGAGGAGGACGAGGGATGAGCAGGAACATGCAGAGGAGGAAAAGGAGGAAGAAGAGGAGGAGGAGGAGAGGACGAGGGAGGAGGGAATAGGACGAGGGAGGAGGACGATGAGGGGGGAGGAGGAGGAGGAGGAGGAGGAAGAGGAGGCAGAGGAGGGAGGAGGAGGAAGAGGAGGAGGAGGTGGAGGATGAAGGTGGAAGAGGAGAGGAGGAGCCGGAGAGTAAGACGATACGGAGGAGGAGGAGACGGAGGAGGAGGAGGAGGTGGATGAAGATGAGGAGGAGGAGGAGAAGAGGAGGAGGAGGAGGAAGAGGGCGAGAACGTCGCTGGAAGCGACGGCGGCCCCCAGGACAGCCTCAACGACGAGGACGACATCCTTGGCGGTCCGAAGGGCCGGCCGGGTACCAGAGTAGGACTGTTGGTGGTAGTGTTTTTGGATTGGAGGAGGAAGAGGAGGAGATGAGGAGCAGGAGGAGGAGGAGGAGGAGGGGGGGAGGAGGACGCGGAGGAGGGGGTGGGAGGGGAATGAGGAGGGAGGGTGAGGAGTGAGGAGTGATGAGTGAGGAGGGGGTGGAGGAGGAGGAGGAGGAGGAAGAGGAGGAGGAGGAGAAGGAGGAAGAGGAGGAGGAGGAGGAGGAGGAAGAGGATCAAGAGGACGAGGAGGAGGACGTGGAGGAGGTGGAGGATGCGGAGGAGGAGGAGAATCAGGAGGAGGTGTTTTGTTGTTGTTGTTGTTGGTGTTGTTGTTGTTGCTGTTGTTGTTGTTGTTGATGATGTTGTTGTTGTTGTTGTTGTTATATTTAAGTCTCATTTATGAAGAATAATGATTTTTGATCCCCCCTCACCGGTGCATACTTTTGTCTCTCAGTCAAATTGTGCCCCCTCGACGCTCGCACCTAGTTTTTTGACAGGGAAAGTCTTGGTGCTCAAACTGCGCCTCTGGCCCTACGGATTACAACAACAACGGCTCCCGCTTCAGACTTCCTCCAAATTTACCCAGGACCCCCGTTCCTGAGACTTCCTCACAATGTACTCAGGATCGGTGCTCCCACCTGTGACTTCTTCGCAAGTTAGTTAGGACCCCCGCTCCCATCTGAGACTTCCTCACATCTTACTCAGGAGCGGCGCTCCCGCTTGAGACTTCCTCGCATTTGAATCAAGACTTCCTCTTTAATCAAGACCCCCGCTCCCGCTAGAGAACCCTTCACATGTTATTCAGGAATTGCGCTCTCGCCTGTGACTTCCATGCAATTTGATCTAGGACCCGCGCATTCGACGCTCAGGAAACACGCTGCGCCAAGGACGCCGTTACAATTTACTTAGTAATCGCGCTCTCGCCATACTCAGGCATCCCGCTTGAATGTCCCACCCGCCCGACCCGCCCGTCAGGGGATCGCCTGCCCGTCGTGGGCTCCCGGCCGAGACTTCCACGAAAGTTCACGCTTTTTACCTTCCTGCTCCTCCTCCCTCTCCCTCATCCCTCATCCCTCCTCTCCTCCCTTCTCTCTCCCTCCTTTCTTCCGTCATCCTTCTGCCTCTCTGCCCTCTTCCCTCTCCCTCCTTTCCCTCCTCCCTTCTCCCTCCCCTCTCTTGGCTCCTCCCTCCCTGTTTCTTTTTTTTGTTTTGTTTCTCTCTCTCTCTCTCTCTCCCCCTCTCTCTCTCTCTTTCACTACCTCTCTCATATGTCGTTCTCTCTCTCTCTCTCTCTCTCCTTTTCCCTCTAATCAGCCGCCCCCCCTTCGCTCCTTCTCTCCTGGCGTTTCCCCTCTTCCTTCGTCCCTCCCCCGACCTTCCTCCCACTCTCCCTCGTTGTCCCCCTCCTCTTTTTGCAGGGCCCACACCAGTTCCAATGGCGGGCACACGTACGCCCACGAAGGATTGTCCGCCCGTTCAGGTTTGCCCGCCTGTCTAAGCCCGCCGCCCCCCGCAACGAAAGAATTCCCCCGAAGGGGGTGTGATCGAAGACAAAACGGGCGGGTATCGAGGGTGTGGGGAACTCGTATTGAATGACACGCGGGCAAATAAAAGCGAACAGTCTTAGAATGAGTGTTGTTGTTGTATTGTCGCTTCTAACGAATAGTATGGTTGATCTCTTTACCCCGAGAAGCCCCCAAACTCAGGAACGGCGCTCTCGCTCGAGACTGCCGCGCAATGCAGTTAAGTTGGCGGAAGCCCAGCCACGACAACAAGGAGTTCTGGTCGATACTTCCTCACAATTTACTCCGAGATCCCCTGGCCAAGAAGGCCCCCGAACTCAGGAACGGCGCTCTCGCTCGAGATCTTCCCGCAATCAGGCAATTTGGTGGACGCCCGGACACGGCGACAAGGGCTTCCACTTGATATTTCTCCATAGGTATTCCGAGAGCCACTGGCCAGAGATGTTCCCGTTGTCAGGGACGGCGATATCGCTCGAGACTTCTTCACACTTCAGTCAGTGGCCGACAAGGAAGACATTCCCCCCGAAAGGAGGTGCAATCGAAGACGAAGTGGGCGGGCATCGAGGGTTGGGGTATATGGAGTGCAAGACACGCGTGGCAGTAAGAGCGCACAGTCTTGAAATGTTTGTTGCTGCGGTTGATGTCGTTGTTGTCGTTGTTGTTGATCCTTCACTATTTAAACATAATTACTGTTGGTCCCCCTCAAGTGACCATTGTATGTTTCAATTGAAGTGCGTCCCCCGGGGCTCGCAATTATTTTTTCTTAGGGGAAGGAAGTCAATAGGCTCAAAATGCGCCTGTGGCCCCCGTATATTACAACAACACTGGCGCCCGCCTCAGGCTCAGGAGTCGCGCTCTCGCTTGAGACTTCCCTGCGATCTATTCAGGAATCGCTCTCTCGGTGCTCTGGAGTCGCGCTCTCGCTGGCGCTTTGCTTGCAATGTATTAGAGAGTCGCGTTCTTGCGTTGGGTTCCCCCGCAATTTACTCAATCGACGCGGTCCAAATATCCAAGCACCCAGGAGTCGCGCTCACGCGTAGGATTCCGTCACAGTTTACTTAGGAATCGGGATCCCGCTGCCCTTCGTGGCCCCGTTGCAGGCCGTCGTGGCCTCTTCGCTGCCCCTCGTGGCCCCGTTGCACCCAGTCGTGGCCCCCTCGCTGCCCTTCGCGGCCCCGTTGCAGCCCTTCGTGGCCCCTTCGCTGCCTTCCGTGGCCCCGTTGCAGCGCTTTGTGGCCCCCTCGCTGCCCTTCGTGACCTCGTTACAGCTTTTCGTTGCCCCTTCCCTTCGCTTCGTGGCCCCGTTGCAGCCCTTCGTAGCCCCTCGCTGCCCTTCGCGTCCCCGTTGCAGCCCTTCGTGGCCCCCTCGCTGCCCTTCGCGGCCCCGTTGCAGCCCTTCGTGGCCCCTTCGCTGCCTTCCGTGGCCCCGTTGCAGCGCTTTGTGGCCCCCGTCGCTGTCTTACGTGGCCGCATATCTGAATGCCTTTCGTGGCCCCCGCCCGTTCGCGCCCGTCGTGGCCCCATATGCATGCCCTTCGTGGGTGTCCCCGCTGTCGCCCTTCGTGGCCCCCTTGCTGCCTTTCGTGGCCCCGTTGCTGCCCTCAATGGCCCCGTCGTTGCCCTCTGCGGCCCAATGTACGTATGCCCTTCGTTGCCCCTGCTCGGTCGCGCCCGTCGTGGCCCCATATGCATGCCCTTCGTGGTCCCGCTGTCGACCCTTGTGGCCCCCCTCGCTGTCCTACGTGGCCCCGTTGCTGCCCTCAGTGGCCCCGTCGTTGCCCTTTGTGGTCCCGCATTATCTGCCCTTCGTGGCCCCATACGCATGCCCTTCGTGGCCCCCCTCCTTCCCGTCATGGCCCCGCTGCCGCTCTCGCTCTCGCTCTCGCTTTCGCTCGTCGTCGCCGTCGTCGTCGTCGTCGCCGTCGCTGTCGTTGTCGTCGTCGTCATCGTGGTCGGTCCTCTCTCCGTCCCTCTTGGGGTCGGGTTGCCGCCGGTCAGCGTTGCCGCTGGCCAGGCCGACGGTCCGCGACCGCCCCGCCGCTTGCCAGGGCCGGGCCTGCAGGGGAGAAGGACTTATCCCCCAAGAGGGACACGATCGGATGCGAACAGGGCGGGCAGCGAGGGTTTGGGAAACACGCGAGAAATGGCACTCGAGCAGATAAGAGCGATCAGTCTTAAAACGATTGTTGGGTGTTGTTCTGACTGCTGGTGTTGCTGTTGCTGTTGCTGCTGGTGTTTCCGTTGCTGCTGCTTTTGCTTTCAATGGTGAAATTGACGATGTTGTTGACGACGACGACCATGTATGATGATTTTGTTGATGGTGATGATGATGATGCTGGTGATGCTGATGCTGATGCTGCTGTGGCGGATGACGATGGCGATTATGATGATCATGTTGATGATGCTGAAGACGACGACGATTGCGACGACGACGGCGATGATGAGGTTGATCATTTTGATAATGACGGTGACAATCACGATGATGTTGAGGACAACGGCGACGATGTTGATGATGGTGATGATGATGATTGTGATGCGTATGATGATGCTGACAATGATGATTGTGTTGGTGCTGCTGATGGCGATGATGTTGATGATGATGGTAATTGGTGATAATGGTAATGGTGATGATGGTGATGATGCTGATGCGTGTGGTGATGACGACGATGTTCACGTTGATGCTGGTTACGATGCTGATAATGCCTCTGATGATAATGATGATGGTGCTGATCATGGGTATGGTGATGAACATGTTGCTGAGGATGCTGATGGCGATGATGACGATGATGATGATGATGGTACTGATGATGATGCTGATGATGATGATGATGATGATGATGATGATGCTGATGCTGATGCTGATGCTGATGCTGATGCTGATGATGATGATGATGATGGTGGTGGTGGTGGTGGTGATGGTGCTGATGATGATGATGCTGATTATGATGGTGCTGGTGCTGATGATGATTCTGATGATGGTGACGGTGGTGGAGGTGGTGATGATGCTGATGACGAGGAGAATGAGGAGGAGGAAGAGGAGGAGGAGGACGAGGAGGAGGGGTGGATAAGGAGGAGGAGGGGGAGGAGGATGAGGAGAGGAGGAGGAGGAGGACGAGGAGAAGTTAGAGTTGGAGGAGGAGGAGGAGGAGTAGGAGGAGGAGGTGTGACGAGGAGGTGAAGGTGGAGGAGGAGGAGGCGGACCAAGAGGAGGATCGAGGACCATGTGCCGAAAAGATGATCAAGAAGACTATCATTTAAGACACCTGGGCCAGCTTCTTGGACGTTTCGTATTGCAAACCTGGGCCAATGTCTGGTGTTAACTCCACAGGGGCGACTAAGCTCAGGAAGCTGGGCCTGCTTCTCGGCAGGCTGGCTGAGAAACGCTAGCCCAGCTTTTCGTGGGGAGGTTTCTTAAGTTGATGCTCGACTGTATGGGAAGATGGAGGAGCCCTCCCCGAAGGGAAGGGAGTTTCTGGA